CACAGTCAAGTCAAGTCACATTTATTTCCACAGCGCTTTATTCAGTACAGATTGTCAAAGCAGCTTCACAGTGATAAACAGGCAAAATAACAGTGTTAGTGTTGCAAGATCCATCCATTATGAAACGTTTTCACAACTTTCACTAACGTTTTTTTTAAAACATTATATAAATGTTACAACAAAACGTTCTAAAATAATGTTTATGGAATGTTCTTACCTTATTAATATTTGATATATATTGAGGAAAAACGTTCTGAGATCAACATTCTTGGAATGTTGTTACTTGTACTTGATGAATGCTGTAAGAAATGCTTTTTTGTAACCTTTAAATAACGTTCTAATCACAACAAGAAATCTAGACATTTTAGCGTGATTAGAAAATTACAAATCAACGTTCAAATAACATGATATTTTGGATGAAAATAAAGTTAGTAGAATGTCGTGCGGAATGTTTTTGTAACCATTTAAGTAACTCTAATCGCGACAAGAACCCTGGACATTTTAACATTTTAACATTTCAAAACAATGTTCCCACAACGTTTTTATAACCTAAGTGTGTGACCTGGATAGTTTCATTATTCAGATCAGGTCAGTTCAGTTGTTCTCGTCTGATAGTGTCAGTGCCGTCAAATCGATAATAATACTGAATATTAACATAAAAAGTCTTTTAAACAGGCAACAGTGGCGAAGAACAAGACGTTTCCAGCATGTCTTTTTCGGCACTGTATGGTAATATCAAAGGAAAGAATATCTTGGATTACCTTGCAAATACCATAGTATATGAATATGGTATATCACTCAGTAACATGATATATGTCAAAGTGCCCTGATATTACTATCTGATGCGATCACAGCACATTTGTACCATGTACTTTACCATATTTAGGGGAAGAAAATGCACCCAGAAATGAGTTCAACCTGACAATACCTCCTTTTGTGGATGTCCTAGTTTGTATTGGTAAATAAATGACATGTTTTAGTTGTGAAAGCTAGATTACAGTATTAATAAGCTGTCCATAAAAGCAACAGAAGTCTATGCAGTGTCCTCATTAGACAGAGAGATAAGATCAGTAGATTAGTACTGATCACATGTAGAAGTGACCGTGGTCAGTGTTTGTTCCATGAGATAGTTTCATGAAAGCAGCGGAGCCTGAACATTCGTTGCGTTTGCATAAACTTTAATAAACAATCCGTGGCAGAGCTTCAGGATTCGTGAATCCGAGAGAAACCCAACGAAGTACCCAACGAACCCAACGAATGTAATCAGTCTAGAAAGTACTGAGTATTTACCCAGCCAACAGACAATGTTCTTGTAACTTTCACTAATGCTTTTTAAAAGTTTTTATTTTTTTTTAAATATTAAAAATAAATGTTCAAATGTTCAGTGTTCTAAATAAGTTAGTAGAACGTTCTAAAACTGGACATTTTAACCTTCTTAGAATATTAAAACTAAACGTTCAAATAGCATTAGGTAAAAATAAAGTTAGTAGAATGATATAAGAAATGTTTACGTTATAATCACGACAAGAAAATTGACATTTTGGTGTTTTAGGAATGTTAAAACAATGTTCCCACAACGTTTTCGAACCTAAATTAAGTTATGGAAATGCTATTTCTTAATGTTCTCTGAACATTAAAAACGTCAGTTTTTTAGTGTTTATAAAATGTATTTTTTCTTGGTTATGTGAACGATAATAAGGGAACATTTTATCATTTTGCAAACGTTACGTTTTGAGTGTTCTCTGAACGTTCTGAAACAGTAACATTTAAAAAAAAAAAAATGTTAGATGAACGTCCAACTAAAGCGTTTCAGAAATTAAATATTCCATGAGTGATGTGTAAAAAATGTTTTTGTGCTAACGTTTCAAGAACATTAAGGGATAGAAGGGATAACACTGTTAAAGGAACACGCCACTATTTTTGAAAATAGGCTCATTTTCCGACTCCCCTAGAGTTAAACAGTTGAGTTTCACCGTTTTCGAATCCATTCAGCCGATCTCCGGGTCTGGCGGTAGCACTTTTAGCTGTAGCTTAGCATAGATCATTGAATCTGATTAGACCGTTAGCATCTCGCTCAAAAATGACCAAAGAGTTTCGATATTTTTCCTATTTAAAACTTGACTCTTCTGTAGTTACATCGTGTACTGAGACCGACGGAAAATTAAAAGTTGTGATTTTCTAGGCCGATATGGCTAGGAACTATACTCTCATTCCGGCGTAATAATCAAGGATGATTGATGCAATGATATTACGCAGCGCCTCAAAATAGTCCCCAGCACGCTCCCTGTGCATGCAGGTGGTCACGTTGGTTATGCTGACGGAAGTTAGCCTATTTTCAAAAATAGTGGAGTGTTCCTTTAAAAGGGGTCATTTGATGCGATTTCAATTTTTCTTTCCCTTTGGAGTGTTACAAGCTCTTGGTGCATAAAGAAGATCTGTAAAGTTGTTTTAACGTGGATTATGTCTCCTTTTTTTCTTTTAAAGGAACACTCCACTATTTTTGAAAATAGGCTCATTTTCCAACTCCCCTAGAGTTAAACAGTTGAGTTTTACTGTTTTCGAATCCATTCAGCCGATCTCCGGGTCTGGCGGTAGCACTTTTAGCTTAGCTTAGCATAGACCATTGAATCTGATTAGACCATTAGCATCTCGCTCAAAAATGACCAAAGAGTTTCTATATTTTTCCTATTTAAAACTTGACTCTTCTGTAGTTACATTGTGAGTCTACAGAAGAGTCAAGTTTTAAATAGGAAAAATATAGAAACTCTTTGGTCATTTTTGAGCGAGATGCTAACGGTCTAATCAGATTCAATGATCTATGCCAAGCTACAGCTAAAAGTGCTACCGCCAGACCCGGAGATCGGCTGAATGGATTCGAAAACGGTGAAACTCAACTGTTTAACTCTAGGGGAGTCGGAAAATGAGCCTATTTTCAAAAATAGTGACGTGTTCCTTTAAGGTTACTGTTCATCACTTGCCAGGATGTTTCCTGGTATCTGGCTAGTGATGGTTCAGTGTGATTGATCTGCCGTGACTGTTGTATTTCTGTCTTCTCAAGTCTAATCGGAGCATCAGGTCAATGACACGTCTCAGCCCTTCATTCAGCTGCACTTCTGCTTCCTCTTGCCGTCTCTTATTACTCTCACTTCCTCTTCTCAACACATTTAAAGTCCGTGTTTGGCAGACAGACCTTCATAACGTGCATTGACCCCAAAAACTAAACATCAAGGATCTTTTCTCCTCACGCACAGCACGTTTGAGTCTCAGTGTGTTAGAATCGGCTGGTTTTCAGTGGACACCGGTGTTTGTGCATCATGGAATGACTCCCAGTCAGATGCAGATGTGATTGTGGTGTTTTCAGCCTGGTTGATTGTTAGTAGCTCTGATCGGTGGTGAAGCTGTTGTATCTGAGCGGAAGTCAAGTATTGTATCACGTTGTTTAACTGAGAGTGTTGCACAGGAGGGTAGACTAGGTTCCCACATCCTCTCACACACACACACACACACGCACACAAACACAAACACACACACACTCTCACACACACACACACACACACACTCACACACACACACACACACACACACACACGCACACGCACACGCATGCACATACAGACACATAAGTCCCCACCAGGATATATAAACCAGTACACACACACACACACACACAAACACACACACTCACACACACGCACACACACACACACACACACTCACTCACACACACACACACACACACACACACACTGCACAAACTGCTGCACATTATCAGCTTGTCGGAGTGCGTGTGTGTGTGTGTGTGTGTGTGTGTGTGTTTAAAGCTTGTGTGATCAGGTCTATATATGTGAACATGCTGCAACATTTCACGTCTCTTTTTGTCTTTTGACGACCGGCTTCATGTTTTGATCAACAGCTCAGATGCTGAAAGATGAAACTGTACAGTTGATCTCTTAAGCAGATGTTTTTTCTGACTCTTAAAATGACTTTTTTGGTGCCTCAACATTAATGCTTTTCATCAGTGCTTTTGTCATTTTCCAGTATGTCTAAGCATTTTTTAAATCAACATACATTTCTGGAGATGCAAAATGACAGAAGATGCAAAAAAAAAAGATCATAATGAGTGAGTTTATGCTCAAGATGAGAACACAATCACAGCCCTGCAGCATATGTGCTGAATGAATCCAATACTTGTTGTTTCTGACTAATTTTGAGCTGCTGATTCCAAAAATAGTGTCTGTTTTGCTCTTTCACGTCACAATTTATTACAAAATATGATGCATTTTGTAGCATTTTTGATTTCGTTAGTGCGGTCCTCTTAATCAGCAGAAAACTCTGTAAACACATGATTCCTGTCTAACTATTTGCTCAGTTTTTCACATGGATGACATTATTTGATGCTTAATCCTGATTTTATTCAGAATTACGGCCGGTGACAGAAGAAAATGCAAACGTTGGCCTGATGATTTCTGCTGCATCTGTGGGTGTTTTTGTGAAAAAGCATTTTTTTGTAAAGCTCTTTGATTATTAAACGGATTATTTGAAGATATTTGTACACTTATTTACAGATTTTATGCTAAATTATGTATTTTAAATATTTATATTTGTCATTAAACCTTTGATATTTAACTGCTTTTGTTATTTTGATACATATATACAACTTCACAACATACTGTAGACCTCAGCATCATCATCAAATTAGGTTATTTTAGGCAAATCAGCAGAATTTCTTTAAGTGTTACCCGACAGTACTTAAGTGTTTTTAAATGTTATCAGTTTTTAAATGTAAATTTTTTGTGAATTTAAGCATTCTCAGATAGTTTGTGTTTTTTAAATGTTATCAGACCATTTCTTAATATTTTAAGTATTATAAGACAGTTTTAAGTGCTTTTAAATGTTATCAGTCAGTTTTAAGCGTTATCAGAGAGTTTGCAAGTGTTTTTACGTTTTATCAGACAGTTTTAAGTGTTTTAAGTTTTATCAGACAGTTTTAAGTGTTATCAGATGGATTTGAACTGTTTTTAAGTGTTATCAGACAGTTTCTAGGTATTTTTAAGTTTTATCAGACTGTTTTAAGTGTTTTTTTCAGTGTCATTTGACGGTTTTTAAATGTTTAAAGTTTTTTTTAAGTGTTATCAGACAGTGTGGTTAGAAAAATAATCTTGTTTTGCCTTTAAATTAAGTTGATTTTTCTGTCCCCATTGACAGGTATTTGTTCTTGTTTCAATCATAAATTCACTTAATTTTGAGCCATTGTGCATCTCCAGTAAATGCATCTTAATTTAAGAAAAAATAAAAAGTCATAATTTTTCACAGTGTGTAACCTGATGTAGTCAGGTTGATTCTGTCTGTCATGTTTTACTGTATGCAGTGAAGCACAGCTGCAGGTTTGCTGACTGAAGTCTCTGTTCGGTGTGTGATTTTCATGTTTTGCAGTGAACAAAGCATCTGTCAGGCGCGGGCCACCGTCATGATGTACGATGACGGCAGCAAGCGCTGGTTACCGGCCGGTTCTGGCGCTCAGGCCATCAGCAGGGTTCACATCTTCCAGAACCCCAGTAACAACAGCTTCAGGGTGGTGGGACGCAAACAACAGGCCGATCAGCAGGTAACCATAACTACCTCTGACTTGTGCCATTAAAGACTGCATTTAATGTGTGAGACGAGTTTAGACCATTATCAGAAGTTTAGTGTGTATGTGTGAAACCACAGCATGATGGAGGAGGAAGTGTATGTGTGTGTGTGTGTGTGTGTGTGTGTGT